GAGTATCATAAAGCCTTTAATATGTTTGTAGCCAGAGAAGGATCATTTTTCTAACAAACTCAAAAAAAAAAAGTTCTCATGTTTGTTTCACACCTTTCACAGATTATCTTGAGACAGTCAATAACAAACTTGAAGCAGAAGTGGAACTTGGAGGTTATTGATAACTGCATTACCCAGTGCATTATGGGAAGGAGACATGCACACTGTAATCAATAAATTAGGGATGTTTTATTACGAAATATGGCAGCTTTGACACCAAGTGAGTCATTTAAAAATGGTCATTTTTATTTTTTTTTCAAGGTTTTACGAGGTAACTATTTGAGACTTGCATCATTTTAAAGATTATAAGGTGAAAAAAAATAAATGATTTTATCTTCAAGCTGATATTTGTGTAGTATGTTATGGTTTTGCTCTTTATTTTGGCACAAAAAAGCAAAAAGGCAACATGCCAAGAACAGAGAAATTCTGGAATCCATGTCTCTTTTTTTTCACAGTTATGCTAATAATATATTATTAAAATATTATGTTTGAAAAATTTTAAATATGTGCATTTTACTAATGGTATTAAAATGGTGTTACCCTATTATAGTTATTTTTTAACATTTTAAATTATTTTTTTATTTCTGTTTTTGATTTTAAAGTTTTAGTAATTTTGTTTTTATGCCATTTTTATTTTATTTTGTTTGTTTTTTGTTTAAGTTTTTAATCATTTTTATTTCCCCTTTAGTTATTTTAGTACACAATCAAGTTCAACTGAATGAAAATGAGAAATATTGGCTAGTTGAAATAAAAGTTTAAGATTTTTTAAAAATACTTTATTTTATTTCAATTATGTTTCTAGCCTGTTCCCACAGCTGTTGTATGACTGTGCAAATCACATGTACACCACAGCTCGAAAATATATCCTGAAAGTGAAGGGGAAACTTACTGACCGCGGCAGTTACTTTCTGAGGTTGTTTTGTAAGGATTTACAAAGAATTCATCTCCATTTCTGGATTATTAAAATCCAGATGATAAACCGCTGAAATTCTAGGGTGCTCTTTGACCGTCCTGGGATATTTTCTCTAGGTGTGAAACAATGGTGGGTGTTCTAGGAGTCCTTTTATCTTGAGAGAAGAGATGAAAAATTAAGGATTTTTGGTAAATCCGCCGCGGCTCTATTCCTGTGTGTGACGCTGTCTTCGTAAGCAAATTAATGCGGGCATAATGCCTCTGTGCAGAAAGACTTCACTCAGTGGGTTCTGTAACTGTGGCTGTGAGATTTAGGGCAACGCTGATGTTACATCACCTGGTTTAATCTCAAAGCTTCTCTTTTGCAAGAGCAGCTCCTTGGCCTGCAGAGAGCAGCCAACACCGCTGAATATTCAGAGGAGTGCGTTTGTGGAGTATTAAAACCTTACAAATCCATGCTTCACTGTTAAGTTAGGGATAATGTACAGTCAGCCGATCAGTATCGCAACATAAACCAGTTTATTAAAGGTGCAGTAGGAGATCTTGGAAAATGCTAACTTTAGCCTGATAGCACTGAAAGCCAACATCCCACACTCCCTGCAATAGCTGTCCAGAATACCAGCGACAACATTACAATAGGCTACATCAGCGGTTGCAAATACTTATGTTGACAGACAGGTAAGAAAGCCAATTAAAACGCTCGGACCGAGCGTTTTGATTGGACGAACATTAATTGGTCCTATGCCTTCCACAGAATATATAAATACAGATAAATACATGTAGACCACTTAACTCGGGGGTTTTCAAAGTCTAAGACAGTGGGCCTCCCTTTTGACACAACTTACCCAATGGCCCTTCTGGGTGAAAAATGTTTCTCATATTTTTGACGCATTATTTTTTAGTATCGTATAAATAAAAAATACATATAATGATTGAACTCAATAATTATATTTTTAATTTATTATAATTTTTCCCCGCGCCTCCCGACATGCTCTGGCGCCCCCCTGGGGAGGTGCGCCCCACACTTTGAAAACCCCTGACTTAACTTAATGATTGCTATCGGGATGTGAATAGACTTTCAACAAGCATAACAAAAAATGTTTCTGAAGACAATCACCTATTTCACCTTTAAACTGAAAATAAATATGTGGACATGACCTTACCTGTGAATATCTTCCACTTTAGGATTCCGCTAGGAAAAGTATTAATACCTATGTCTAATATAATTTTCACTACAATCGATAACCGAGATGCAAAATAGCGCCGGTTGCATTATAACAAACCGCGGACTGCCACCAATCTGACCAATCAGAATCAAGTAGCATATTCCAGAGAACCGCGTAAATGAGCACAGTAAACGGCCAATCACAGACTTACATAAAAATAGTTTTATTAAAACATGCTACAGAGGGATAAACAAATTACATTAACGTTTCCTCATGGGGCGACTGAGGCGACCCAGACACAAATTTATGACAGAAAAGAGGATTGAAGGTGCAAGCTGCGGTACGGCTTAGGAAAAATGTGTAAAACAGTTGAGGGTTAATTGAATTTTATAAAGTCCTTATTTAGGCGATACATTTATAATACGAAAAATATGAACAGAAAACTGAGGACAAGTTTGAGTTGAGGTCTTCATCATAACAAAGTCACATTATTAACATTCTTACTGAGAAAAACATTTCCCTTAAAATTCTGATTACTTATCATTCATCAAAATTGATTGTATTTTCAGACGAGCCTGTATTAGACATGGAAACAACAATTCCACAAAAGCATCTATAATCTCATGAATATCCATGAATTTTTTTGGTAGGCTAATACATACCATTAAACGTGTATCTTGTAATTCAGTTCCTAATCATTGTGCTACAGAAACTTCAGTTTAATGTGCTCTTTAATCATAAAAAAGAGTCAATGCTAAAATAACTGAATTTTATAATAATGGGTAAAATGTCTCATCTTAGCACCTTTGAGTGGAAATCATTGCATTTCCTTAAAACCAGAAAACCATTTTTAAACAACTAATACTTGACGTTATCTGCCATAAAAAGTTCACTCACAATTTCACACATCTGATTAGTTACCAAACAAGTTATAAATGATAGAAATCTGTAACAATGTGGTGTTCTTCACATGCCAAATTAGCAGCAGACCACTTCTCTCCCATAAAGAGTCTGAGCAATTCAACATGGTGCATTAGATTTGTCACTGAAACTCATGACCATTCATCTTCATGTGCCTGAAACCCTCAGCCCTAAGGATGAATTGGACCGGACATACTCAATGGTCTGGCACTTGTGTGGTTCAGTAGCTTTTGATAGAAAGCTGGTACCAATTACAAGGCAGAATGAGCTATGATGTGGTAGTTTAGTCATCAGCACCCAAAAAACATCGTTCAGAGAGGAACCGCTCATACAACCCGTGAAGAATTGCTAACAATGTCACTGCTACAATTTTAAAGACAGGTCTGCTGTCAAAAAGGACGGATCCACAGACCTTCTCCATGTGCATAGCTTATTCTCACGAGGTGAGAAAATTCAAGTGATATGCTGTTGATAAAGAGATGATATTTTGTGTATACTTGAATGATTGCAGTTGTGATCCTGTAGTTAGAACCTATGGGGTCCTATAAGGGGGCCTGATGATGGAAAAAAATGAGCCGAGAGGAAAATGGCTCGTTTCAATGCTTTTAGGTTCCCTCGCAAAATTTTGCCATTCTCTCAAGAAACTCTTTTCCTCCCACTTCATACAAAAATTATATTTTAATGCTTTTGCATTTCCTCGCAGCAAAGTTTCTCAGGGGAATCTAAAAGTTTTGAACACAAAAGACTAAAGAACACAAAAGCTTTGTTGAAAATTGAACCATTTTTTCCATCACCATGTCCCTTTAGGACAGAGATGCCCAAACCAGGACCCTTGGGTCAAAGTTGGCCTGTGATTACCTTTGATTTGGCCGGCCATGTCATGTCACAAGAGGGGGGAAACAAAAAATAATAGCATATCGTCATTTCTATTTGATCTTTTTTTTGTATTTTTTTCTATTTTAGCATTGTAGAGAATGTAAGTGAATTTGATTTTAAAAAAATGTAAATTTTATTATAACATAGGTGCATATATAATGCAGCATTTACTTTTGACCCATGGCCCTCAATTAAAGTTAGGTTTTTGGCCCTTCATAGTAAAGTTTGGGTAACTTTGCTTTAGCGGCTCCCTAAAAACCCACTTATGCTTAATTTATGTTTATTAGCCAAGCTTATATCTCTGTCGCTACAAAATTTAAAAAGAAATCCATTCTATTTTCCAAATAAATGTGTGGAAAATTTAGGATTATTTGCAACGGATGGGTCAATCAATAGCACATCAACTTTCACACCTCTTGAGAGATTTTGTTTAAAAGAAGAAAAAAAAAATATGTAAAAACCACAAAATACTGTACTGGTTAAACAGACAGTAAAAACAAGAAAAATAAATGTTTAAATACTTTAAAAAATGTAACTATTTCTCTACAACTGCAGAAAATAAAAACAGTACAAAGCCTTCAATGTAATGTAACGCCAAACCTTAGTCAATAAATCATGCCCATTCCATCCATATCATGTATGCAGGTAACAAAAATGAAGTAAAGTGGATTGAATACAGTTCTTTTGGGCAGAATGAGTAGCTCTCTGAAGCTTAGGTCCCTTGTGTCCTTACGCCTCTGGCGAAAAAAGCTTATGTCCTCTCGCTCCTCCGGGCCAGTCAGCCTCCAAAACTACCAGCAGCACAGCACGAGGCACTGAGGTTTACATCTCTCTGCCAAGCACAATCCATTCACACTCCAGCTCTCACTGCTAGTGGAGATTCGGTCCAAAAATAGAGCCTTTCCACCACATTTTCCATATTTGCTTGAATATTTCAGTCACCATTTTTTTGTCTTCTAAAATGCTTGACAATTACTAGGGTACAAAAAAAACTTTTCAAGCAAAATTGATATCCTTCACTCTTAAACTTTCCACTATTTAAAAAAAATTATGGCTGGTAAAGGAATATCATATTCTGTTTTTTTTCTGAATCGCGTTTAACTTTTGCCTTTGACTTTAAAAAGGGCACCCAATTTCCCTCTTAACACGAAAGTACAACTATAAATATGTTTAATATGCTGTACAGTTCGCAATGTGCATTAAATAGTGTTTAAAAACATCATCTGTGGATCTGATTGAGGGAGGACATGTGGAGGATAAAGCTGGTACGTTTAGTGTCTCAGATGCGAATCTGGTAGCCATCACTGAGGGTGCTGAGCTCTGCCGGCTTTCTGTCCAGTGCTGCAGGCCTGCAAAGAAACATGTTTCTGTTAGTTTCATTTTAGAGATTATTGTTGCATAATGACAAACATGCTGAACCTTTCGGGTTCATGGATTAAACGTTTTAGTGCAGAATGAACCACCTCAGTAGAAGAGTATAAACAGGCCAAAATATTAAAATAAATATATTAAAAAATGAAATTATGCACATTATTTTGAATAAATTATGTGGCTTAAACAATAAATGAAACAATAAAATAAACAGTGTGTTGAAGTACATTATTGTTCAAAAGTTTGTGGTCTGTAAGATTTTGTTTTTGAAAGAAGTCTCTTATGTTCACCAAGGCTGGATTTATTTGATCAAAAATACAGTAAAACAGCAATCTTGAGAAATATTATTACAATTTAAAATAACTATTTTCTATTTGAATATGTATTTAAAGGAGACATATTATGCCCCTTTTTACAATATATAATATAAGTCTCTGGTGTCCCCAGAATGTGTCTGTGAAGTTTCAGCTCAAAATACTCCACAGATCATTTATTATATCATTTTGAAAATGCCTATTTTGAGTGGAAGCAGAAACACGCTGTTTTTCGGTCCTGTCTCTTTAAATGCAAATGAGCTGCTGCTCCCCGCCCCCTTTTCCAGAATAGAGCTGAGCCTTTACAGCTCGTACCTGCTAAAAACATCTGTTTTGGTTCTGATGATCATGTTTAACGCGCTGAAATCATGCGTTTTAAACCATATTAGTTTAAACTTCTGATATACGGTTTTCTGAGCGCACATATCCGAAGCACATGAACAGAAAGCGGCCACCACACAGCATGTGAGTACTGAACTAAGTTCTCATTCACAGTCACACAAGTTTACGTTAAAAACACACGAGTTACAAAAACAGCCGGTTATGTCTGTGAAGGTAAACTGCTGGGGAAATCGTTTATTTTAGATCTGTGTGGCAGCAGCAATATACAGTAAATAAATAAATAAATCCACTGGCTTGCAGAAAAAGGCTTACCAAAACAATGTTCTGGGTTAATCTTTTTCACGTTTCCTTGGTTGGTAGATGCACCGTGAACCTGATTATAGCACTTAAAACCTGGAAAAGTCAGATTTTCATGATATGTCACCTTTAAAATTCAGTAATTTAGTTCTGTAATGTCAAAGCTGGATTTTCAGCAAGCATTACTTTAGAACCCTTCAGAAATCATTCTAAAACACTGAAATATTTCTTATTAATGTGAAAAAGAGTTGAGCTGCTTAATATTTTTAATATTTATTCAGAATTCTTTGATGGATAGAAAGTTCAAAAGAACAATTTATTTGAATTAGAAAATTACTTTTGATCAATTTATGCATCCTTGATATATAAAAGTTCATGCTTTTACTAGAAGATATAGACCCTGACCAAAAAAAAAAAAACCTACCTAATTTACTTTAAATATTTAACAAATTACATATTAGGCACAGTATGACCAGCTAGTATTTTCTAGTTGACACAAATAAGTAGATTGATATAATATATATACATTTCAAGTGGTGTTAGATAAACACAGTGCGTGGACCAGAACTAACTGCTGTATTAGTCTATCACTAGTTGGAATCTCACACCTTTTTTTATCCCACAGGTTTATTTCCTGAGATAAAGCACATTCATGTTCAACCACCACTTTCAGTCCTGCTGAGAACACACAGAGCTGCTGAAGAACAAAGCTCTCCAGCACTGCCGTAACTGTTGTTGCCTTCAAAGGTCTATCACATTTTCCCTTCCACCGTTCACTTTTGTGCTACTATACTCTTGTGAAAAAAATCAATAGGCCTCCATGTTCTTTTGACTGATGATGGCTATTTGAAGCAGGTGCTTCAACGCCAGGCGATCAATCGCACAGCAGTGCCGAGGCAAGTCCTCTCCACTCCAGCTCTGCCTTTTACAGCTCCTTCCTTCATAAATGACTAAGAATGAAAGTTTCTCAGGCAAACATTAGTATTACACAACAAATGTAAATAGATTTGTCACTGCATGAAACCACAATAGCAGCCTTAAGATTAGTCAAAACAAACAACACACTTTTATAACTCAACCCTAAGACACATGCAAAATCTAAACTCTGTGGGTACAAGATGTACAAAGTGGGGACTGAAAGCGTTTGTCTGCATTTTATGTGGGTATCTGAGGACGACTGAGAGGAGGAGACAGAGGAGGGTGGGGGTGAGCCTGTAGACAAGCAAACATCCTGTGTGTTAGAAATAGCCCTGAGTGGAGATAATGCACTTTGACAGGGAGGAGACTCAGGAAAAGGGCAGGAGCAGATTTGTCATACCAGAGCTAAATTTCATCGTCTCTGTGGAATTCCCCTGTTCACTCAACATTTTTGATGTGCAAAGTCTGGAGCGAATCAGATGCATATTTTCATTTTATCTTCTGGGCGTTTCATGTCTTTATTGATAGACTGAGAAATAGTGGTAAGAGACAGCAGGGAATGGGACCGCAGAACAACACAGTCTTAATGTGGAGTGAAAATTCACTTAATCTATTTTGTAAATGCAAGTTATAGATCTTCAATTTCAATATACATTTTCAATTCATCTATGTGTTAAGTTTCATTTTTAAAAAACATTTTTGACCTTGTAGTTTTAATTAAAAAGTCATAACTAAATATTCCAGTGAAAATGACAGACATTTTCTCTGGCGACATATGAATGACTGCTGCAATCATTTAGTTTTGCCCGCTTCTTACAATTGACTGCAAGCCTTGCACAGAAACAAGTCCCCCCAACTTACACTAAAAAAAAAAAAAAAAAAAAAATAATCCTGCATGCTTGCCTGTACCTCATAGTCAG